CCCATCTTATCGTTTTCCGTTCCAAAGCAAGATCAAACATGATCTCTCAACATTATGCATATATAGTGCAGTTTATCGTTGCCAGGAATATAAATATCATCACGATCACATTGGAGCATAGACCTTCGTACGTGTGCTAACTGAGGCCTTGAATTTTTATTAAAAATATATCCAGATGCAGGCTCGATGTTGTAGTAAATTATTGCATGGATAAGATGTGCACGTCTAGTAATCCGTGATATGAATATGATATACACTTATGTCATTGCCGACATGTACATAAGTTGACTCAAATTATTGAAACCGAAAGTTCGAACCCATTATAGGAGTAGATGAGTTCAATCCTTGGCAAATATGGGCGCCAAAACCTGACGAATTTGGGTGCTGAAGCGTAAGTAACTCGCATGGAAATTGGAAATTGCGGAAGGTGGGAAGCAAGATCATAATGGCACATGGCCGAAGTAGGTAGGATCTTCTGTTTGTAACACACTGTTGTCATGAATTACCTGCTTTAATTTGTCCCGCTTTACCTTCACCATAACAGAAAATCATTAGTGTGCATCAACCTCTGATTGGATGGTTAAGAGTAGAGTGGTATCCCTGACATTTTCCAGAATTTATTTCAGAATTTTCAGCGAAGCGCATTCAGTGGGAGGAGACGTTCTTGTCGTCTACAAGGCGCCCGTGGTGTCTTTGTTTAGTTTCAAGATGATATGTGGGCCCAATATCTCGATGGTGCTCAAATGGACAGAGTGTGCGTGTGTGTTTACATGGGTAAATGTATGCGCCTATATATGAGCGTATGCATCTGTACCATGTTCTTGAAAAGATAAACAACAAATCATTAATGGACGTCATATCTGTTGCAAGTAGATGGTTTGTCGGCCTATTTTGTTTTTCTTCTTCTTTTTATTTTTTTATCATCTTGAAATCACAACCAAGTTTCTCACCATTGGGTTCCCCTGGCGGTAGTGTGCTGTGGAATCAGGAGACACACTCATAATGGAGATTAATTAATGGGTGGGGAAGGGAGCTCGTGATTTTCAGTGTTTATTAACAGTTGACACTGCTACAACTAGCAGTGGCTATGACGGCACGATGGATGTTGCGGTGTGACTCGTGTCGGTGTGGAGTGATAACCATCAGTTTTGTGACAACATGAGCGTCTTCCTGACGGCCATGCGATGGTCTTAGGTGAGAAGATGTCCCAACAATTTGCTAGTGCCTTTGGCCTGGGCATGGAGGTACCAGCGGAAGCGACTATTGAATGATCATTCATCAAGATGCTGATTGAAACACCCTTTTATTGCAAGGTGAAAACTCTTGCCCACATCTTTATTTACTACGCTGCGTCGTTATCTTATTGAAGGTGGTGTCTACTGCTGGTCTTTGCAAGCAGGATGAAAACCCTTTTCCAGGCCGACCTCATTAAACCTGGCGATGAAAATTGACTTGGTTGTAGGTGTTAATTTTATTCTATCTTGTATTAGTTTGGCCATGGTTTTCTTTGCTTTTTTACTCTAGTTAATAATCAATAAGAATGGCCATGTGCACGTATAATGCAGACGCCGGGATTCAACCTCCTTTAGAAAAATCAACACTTGACACAATTAATTTCAATGGTGCCATGCATGTCAGTTGTCCTAAGATATTTCTTTGCAATTTTCCAGATGAATCTGCTAGATCAAACTCTCCTGGCAATCAGCAGTGCCTGCCAACAACCCCATAAATTCATCAAGACAAGAGTCCATGACCGATCTGGCGCCACAATGCCACAACTGGGAGAGTGGACCTCAGAAACATATACACCTGGCTGCATATTCATACTTTATTATCTCGTGTGCCGCGTGTCACTTCATAGCCTGTTGTGTCGTGCGTGGCCTATTTAAGCACTACTATCACATCAACGGATTCCCAAAGCAACACATAGCAACCACACGCTCATCAAGAGATCGGAACGGAGAAGGAGAGGGTCCGGGCGAGCGATGGCGGCTCAGGTAGACACCATTGAAGTTCCCACGGACGCTGAGCTGCTGCAGGCGCAGGCTGACCTGTGGCGCCACAGCCTCTACTACCTCTCGTCCATGGGGCTCCGTTGCGCCGTCCAGCTTGGGATCCCGACCACCATCCACCGCCTCGGCGGGGTCGCCTCACTGTCCGACCTGATGGCCGCGTTGTCCCTTCCATCGGTAAAGATGCCGTTCCTCGGCCGGCTCATGCGCGTGCTTGTCACGTCGGGCGTCTTCGCAGCCGACAAAGACTCTGAGTGCGGCGGGGAGCTCTACCGCCTCACCCCGTTGTCCCGCATCCTTGTGGACGGCGTCGACGACGCGGATGAGCACCACAGCCAAAAGTATTTCGTGCTTGCCGTGACCTCGCCACGTCTCGCGGAGGCAGCGTTGGGGCTGGCGGACTGGTTCAAGAAGGACCTTGAGCCACCAGTGCCGTCTCCCTTCGAGGACATGCATGGCGCCCCTATCTTTGATGAGAGAACGCCCCTCATGGACGAAGAGTTTGACGCCGTTACCAACCAAGGCTTGGCTGCCCACGACAACCTGGGGATTGCCACCATACTGCGAGAGTGCGGTGACATCTTCAAGGGGCTTGAATCTCTCACTGACTGCTGCGGTGGTGATGGTACGACAGCGAGGGCTCTTGTCAAGGCTTACCCGCACATCAAGTGCACCGTGTTGGACCTTCCGAAGGTGATAGACAAAGCCCCAAATGATGGTGTCGTTAACTATGTAGCGGGTGACCTGTTCCACACCGTCCCATCTTCTCAAGCTGTGATGCTCAAGGTATATATAACACGGCAAACCATGGGAAATTCTTACGTTCTGGTCTTGCATCTCATAGAAGTCACTCTTACCCACCTTTCATTCTTTGAACTTTACTTATTACTGCAGCTTGTACTACATTTCTGGAGCGATGAGGATTGTGTGAAAATCTTGACCCAGTGCAAGAAGGCCATTCCTCCGCGCGACGAGGGAGGAAAGGTAATTATCATAGACATCGTGATTGGACCTTCCTTAGGGCCAATAATGTTTGAAGCCCAACTCCTGATGGATATGCTCATGATGGTGAACACAAGAGGGGTCCAACGGAGTGAAAATGACTGGCGCAAGCTATTCATGGAAGCAGGATTCAAAGACTATAAAATTGTGAAGAAACTGGGAGCTCGATGCGTTATCGAGGTCTACCCATAAGATGTTGAGCTCTAACGGTGAATAAATTAAAGGAGAGGTGTTTGCTTTTCTAAATGGATAGCTTCATGGATCTTACAAATTAGCTCAAGCGTTTGAAATACCTGCCATAAGGTCCGTGTAAGGTTCATTTAGAGAAGTACTAAAGCACTGTATGTGTTTTTTTTAGTTTTTACCATGTCGGTGTGTTTCAAGCCTCCAGCAACGCTTTCTTGTTACTTGTCATGCATATTATGTATTGTTGACATATTCTATTTTTATATCTCTTTCTAATTAAATGCAAAAACTAGAAACTATAAATCGACAAGGAGAATCTTTGTTTCACGGCATCAAATGTTCGCGGGCAGCCATCTAACCGGAGGCAACAAATGTCGGCCCACTTAATCAACTTGGGTCAATTCAATATAATTATTATTTTAACAACATATTCTCAATGTTGTCGGCATCCTCCTTTCACTAACAAATGCCTATGATCATGAAAACATAATCATCATGCAACACTTGAGTTAGTACTAGAGGCAAGAGTACGAATCAGGTTTTACCGTTTATTATTCTACACATGCCTATGAGTTTTCTTCCAAATCACATATTCAAGAACCATAACAGTTATAACATAGAATATAAACATATAACTATAAATGTGGAAATAAATAGTACAAATATTATTGCCTCTAGGGCATATTTTCAACACTAATCTCCACAACTATACAAAATATATTGTAAATCTACAATCCTTCTCTCAAACTATGAAATCGAGTTCTACTGAACTTTTGATTCTTTGTAATCAAGTGAAAAGAACTGGCCCATAGTCATGAAGTACTTGGTGCTGGGCTGGGTTGCATGATGCTCCACGCGGGCCTCACATCTCCTTTGGTGGCCAAGAGAGTTCATGTCGCCGTTCTTCCTTCCTCCGATTTATTTTTTCCTTGCTCCTTTGTTTTCTCTGTTTTTCAGCCTCCATGAAGGTCGTGACACCATGCAACTAACTCCTATGCTGCTTCGTGCGGTTGTTATTGATCTTGAATATGTTCCGTTCGTGCTAATTGTGTAGTTGTTGTTCCAGGAAAAAATGCTTAGCTTTGAGCTTGATTTTATTTCATTTTTTATTTGATTTTGTCTTTTGCTTCACTGTATGCATACATATACCTCTGTAACAGCGCACTGGCAAATTATTTTCGGGGGTGCGTGTTGAGGTTGCTCGAATTTCATTAGACTGGTGAAAATTCCTCAGATGTTTGTAGGGAGGGAAAATAGTTCCATTATTTTTCAGTTTCTTGTGATAATGAACAAAAGATTTGGGTTGCGTTTGTCGCGTGCATGATGGCATGCCGATCAATTAAGCTGCTTTTATGAGCTGGACTGCTCCTCTCCTATCATTATGGTACATCACAGGTAGTACTGTTTTCTTGTCTTCTTTTCTGAAAAGTAGCTATTTTTCTCAGAATAATATCAAACAAGAATTTTTTATCCTTCCCAAAATGACAAAACAAGAGCATGTATAAATTAAACTATAACTCTTTTATCCTTCCCAAAATATAGATGTAAGAATAAGCATAAATTGTTGTACATACGCTGACTGAAATCTTGAATTATGAAAATTATCCACATTGAGGCGAAGAGTAATAAATTATTGAAATGATAAGATGTACACTTTCGGTAACGTAAAAAGTGCATAAGACGACATTTCACCAGATATTGTTTTTTCCTTTTAAAAAAATAAGTACAACATGTGGACGTATCACACATGCATATGCAAAACACAACATGAATGTGGGAATGTATCTGGTGCACCAGGGCATTTGGTACTACCGGTACCGCTGCACCGGACACTCGGTTCACATGTAAAGTTATACCAAAAAAATCCAAAAACAAATTAGTGCATTGACACAACATCACTGTATGTTGTCACAAAAATTCAAATCAAAATTTGAAATGCTGCTCGAGATACAAAAATGACAAATTTGACATTGAATAGTACATTACACAAGTAGGGCTTCATATTAATTTGGCCCATTAGCACATTCATGTCGAATTTGTAATTTTTGTATCTCGACCAAATGCCTTGGTGCACCAGATACACCCCCCATACTCACACGACATATACTGAATATCACAGTCTCTTGGCAAGTTTAAATATATTTAACAAAATCCACGCATGTCTAGTTGCCAACGCTATGTTGCTTACTTGAATTCATTGAACCTGAATGTTTAACTGCGTTAAGTGAAGTTCAACCTGGATTGAAGCTGAAAGTTGATGAATTTAGCAGCTGAAAGTTATTGTGCTCGTGTGTACAGAACTTTGCCAAAATCCGCCCCCTCTCCAAAATATTTAGCGGCTTTGCCATTATTTTAGTATTATTTTGCTTCATCTTTATGGGTTGTGTGTATCATGTCCGTGCGAATGGCGATGCATATGATTCAATAAAACATACAACCAGCTCTGTTCTCCATCAATCCGCTTGTCTATATACTCCCTTCACAAGAAGATATGAAGATTGAAATAACCAAACATGCATGTCACTCAGTGGTTGGATCCGGCGAGGCCCAAGCTCTGCAGTCTACAGTACCCTGGTGGGCAGTTAAGCGCATTGGCAGCATTCTGATGGGCCAGAAATGGCAGAGACCATGGTGGGGGTGACTGCGTGATGGTGTGGACAATCGGGGCAGAACTGAGACACCCATCATGGAGATCTGGGGGATCGCAAACATCAATAGTCCACGCCAGCAAGTGTCAGTTGTCTTCAATATTTTTTCTGCAAGGTTCTAGAGATAAGATCTGCAAGATCAGACTCCCCAGGCAATCAATAGTGTCAACTATCAACAACCCGTTTAAATAATGAAGATATGGAGAAGGTTCTTGTTTTTCCAGGGTAAAAGGAGTTTATAAATCAAGCACCTAAGGAGTACCAAATGTCCTCAGCAGGCTCAGATCGAAGTCATACAGCAATGCGCTTCTCCTTTCACCAAAATTAGCTATGAAATGACTCTCAAAGTTTTGCTCTCTCCTAATGTGCTTGATTACAAACTCTCTTCCTTCAACCACATTAATTTATCAATTCATGAAGATCTGATGACACATGACAGTTCTGACGCCACATTACTACAATTGGAACAGTGGACCGTGTGTCGCGTGAGACTGTTTGGTTCATAAGTCGTAGGACTTTTTTTAGTCCCAACTTATAAGTACCAAGTCCCTAAAAAGTCCCTACCTGTTTGGTTCCTGGGACTTATAAGTCCCTATAAGACCATATTACAACTATAAGTCCCTATAAGTCCCTCCTTGAGAGTCTTATTTCATAAGTCCCAAATGTCCACTTTAAGTCCTTATAAGTCCCTCCTGTTTGGTTTAGATGGGACTTATAGGGACTTTTTAAGTCCCTAAGCCAATAAGGGGGTGTTTGTTTCCAGGGACTTTTTTGTGTAGGGACTAGAAAAAGTCCCTCTTAGAGACTTTTTTACCAAACGGGAGGGACTTTTTAGGGACTAGGCATTTGGGACTAAATGAAGAAGACTCTCAAGGAGAGTCTTTTTTGGGACTTTTTGGGACTTTTCCAACAATGCCCCTCCATGCATTCAATGGCCGCCACCCCATGGTGGTGTTTGATTGTTATTTTTCTATATACTAGGGGCAACATGATCATTTAATAATCTCTAGGAAGGGACTAGGGACTTTTTAGTCTCTGGAAACAAACAGAGAGGGACTTTTTAGGGACTAGAGACTTTTTAGTTGGGACTAGAAAAAGTCTTAGGACTTATGAACCAAACAGGGCCTTAAGTCCCTGGAAACAAACACCCTCTTATTTCATAAGTCTCAAATGCCCACTTTAAGTCCCTATAAGTCCCTCCTGTTTGGTTTAGATGGGACTTATAGGGACTTCTTTAAGTCCCTAAGCCAATAAGTCCCTGGAAACAAACACCCTCTGATTTGGGCTGCCTACACACTTACATATTCATTTTTTTATAGTCTCGCGTGTCGCGAGTAATTTAAACTGACGCCTTTCGCTCCGCAGCTAACCAAACATTTACACGATTTACTCCTCAACAGTAGTAGGCTAGCAGCTATATATAGACACTTGCATGCTACGCAAAATCACACCAAGGAATTCTCAAAGCAACACAGTCAATCACACAGTCATCACATACTTGAACAGAGAAAGGGAGAGAGAGAGCAATGGCGGCTCAGGCTGAGACCATTGAGGTTCCCTCGGACGCTGAGCTGCTGCAGGCACAGGCTGACCTGTGGCGCCACAGCCTCTACTATCTCACCTCAATGGCGCTCCGGTGTGCCGTCGAGCTTGAGATCCCGACGGCCATCCACCGCCTCGGCGGGGTCGCATCGCTGCCCGACCTGATGGCCGCGTTGTCCCTTCCCTCGGTTAAGATGCCGTTCCTTGGCCGGGTCATGCGTGTGCTCGTCAACTCGGGCGTCTTCGCCGCCGACAACGACTGCGAGTCCGGCGTGGAGCTCTACCGCCTCACCCCGCTGTCCCGCGTTCTGGTGCACGGCGTCGTGGCGGACGAGCACCATAGCCAAAAGTATTTCGTGCTTGGTGTCACCTCGCCGCACTACACGGAGGCGGCGCTGGGGCTGGCCAACTGGTTCAAGAAGGACATCGAGCCACCGGTGCCGTCACCTTTCGAGGAGAAGTTCGGTGTGCCACTCTTTGATGAGAAAACTGCCCTCCTCGACGAAGAGCTTGACTCGGTTTGCAACCAAGGTTTGGCTGCCCACGACAACCTTGGGATCGCCACCATACTCCGTGAGTGCAGTGACATTTTCAAGGGGCTTGAGTCTCTCACTGACTGCTGCGGTGGCGATGGTACAACGGCGAGGGCCCTCGTCAAGGCTTACCCTCACATTAAGTGCACTGTTTTAGACCTTCCGAAGGTGATCGACAAAGCCCCGGCTGATGGTGTCATCAACTATGTTGCGGGTGACCTATTCCACACCGTCCCACCATCTCAAGCCGTGATGCTCAAGGTATGACATGACTAGCTATAACTCATAAAATCCAGGCTTATTCATATTTCATTCTTCAAAATTTACCTATTTTTTGTAGCTTGTGCTACACTTTTGGAGCGACGAGGACTGTGTGAAAATCCTAGCCCAGTGCAGAAAGGCCATTCCTCCGCGTGAGGAGGGAGGAAAGGTGATAATCATAGAGATTGTGGTTGGACCTTCCTTAGGGCCAGTAATGTTTGAAGCCCAACTCCTGATGGATATGCTCATGATGGTAAACACAAGGGGTGGCCAACGTGATGAAAACCACTGGTCCGAGCTATTCAAGAAAGCCGGATTCACGAACTACAAAATTGTGAAGAAATTGGGAGCTCGATCCGTTATCGAGGTCTACCCGTAAGATGTTGTGCTTTAAAGGTGGAAATAAAGGAGGTGCTTATTTTTCTAAGGGAAAGTTCCACGGGTTTTGAAGTAGCTGAAGTATGAACATTAGTTGCTTTACGGTCCATGTGACGTTCGATTAGAAAAGTATTAAAAGCACTTGGTATTTTCATATGTATGTGTTTGCCATGCTGGTGTGCTCGAACAAGCGTCTGCTTGTAGTTTGTTGTCGTGCCTATCATGTATTATTGTCGTATTCTATTACTATCCGTATCAATAATATCATCGGTTATTTCGTGCTAAGTGGAAAAACTGGAACTGCATGAATCATCTGGCAAGCAATCCACAATATGATAAAGTAAAATAGGATAAATGTAAATGGGGAAGATGATGTATGGGGATCTCCAGGTAGCTCAGTGCGACACATGTACCGATGATATCATTGATAAAATAGGAGCAGGTAAAAGAGATGAAATAGTTGGAAACTTTTGGTAGTCTAAATCAGT